CGGGTCCGCACAGACACCCGGGCCCACACTGACACCCGGGCCCACACTGACACCCGGGCCCTCACTGCCACCTGGGCCCGCACTGACATGTGGCCCCTCACTGACACCCGGGCCCTCACTGACACCCGGGCCCGCTTTGACATGTGGGCCCTCACTGACACCCAGGCCCGCACTGCCACCTGGGCCCTCACTGACACCTGGACCCGCTTTGACACGTGGCCCCTTACTGACACCCAGGCCCGCACTGCCACCCGGGCCCTCACTGCCACCCGGGCCCACACTGACGCCCGAGCCCACACTGTCACCCGGGCCCTCACTGACACATGGGCCCTCACTGACACCCGGGCCCGCACTGACACCCGGGCCCGCTTTGACACGTGGCCCCTCACTGACACCCGGGCCCGCACTGCCACCCGGGCCCTCACTGACACGTGGCCCCTCACTGACACCCGGGCCCTCACTGACACCCGGGCCCGCTTTGACATGTGGGCCCTCACTGACACCCAGGCCCGCACTGCCACCTGGGCCCTCACTGACACCTGGACCCGCTTTGACACGTGGCCCCTTACTGACACCCAGGCCCGCACTGCCACCCGGGCCCTCACTGCCACCCGGGCCCACACTGACGCCCGAGCCCACACTGTCACCCGGGCCCTCACTGACACATGGGCCCTCACTGACACCCGGCCTCTGAGTCCTGTCACCACAGAAGGATCCCTCAGGGATCAACTCCCAGAACTGGAGGAACAAAAGGAGAATGAACATGTACCTCCCCAGGAAGAGCCAAGTAGGCAGAGCCAACAGCAAGAGGCCCTGACTCCGTTACAAATGGACCAAATACTCAGCAACCTCCTTGTCCATCTCAGCATGGACCAGATGAGGAGCCTCTTTCTGCACTTGTTCCGAGACCTGCATATCAGTAAGGAAGCCCTGGCCCCCATGGCCGTGCTGGCAATACTGAAGATGAAACAGCACTTCCCGCTGCTGCCCGCACCCACTCTGGAAGTGGCACTACTGCCAGCCACGCGCTCCCTGCGCCTCATTCTGGACTCGTCCCTCCTCACAAACCAGGGCATCGCCAGGGCCATCACCCAGCTGCTGACCCAGATGCCCCCTCTCGTGGGCACTGTGACCATCCGGGCTGAGGAACAGGCCGAACAGAGGGCCCTGCTGCCCCGGGGCTCCCGGGTCCCACCCCTCCCATCTGAGTTCTGGACAATGCTGTGCGAGCGCTTTTGTGTCAGAGTCGCTCCCAGAGAAAGATCCCAGCCCCGCCTGCACGGGAGGAGCCACTACCTGGAGCTGCACGTCATCGGTAGTGATGTCGTCTTGCGAGAAGCCCTGCAAGACGACCTGCAACGTTACCGTCAGTGTGGCCTGCATGACGGCCTGCAAGACACCTCGCAGGACGCGCAGGCGGATGACGACGTGCAGGAGGACGGCGCACAAGGGGTCCAGGTGAAGGAAGCTAACGAGGGAGGGGACGAAGAGAAAGAGGACCAGATGCAGGAGGCGGCGGCGGCGGCCGACCCCTCTCCTACCCCTCCAGCCCCACCACGGGCCTCTGGTGGAATCCTCGACTTCCTGTATAGACAGTTGTATGGGGACCGAGATCAACCCAATCTGCCTCATCAGGACCCTGCGGCCAGGAGCCTGGCCCACTTCCTGGCCATGATCTGCGCAGAGGATCCAGTCCCCCTCCGAGGCAGACAGGCCAGGGGCGGAGCAAGGCTAGAGGAGCTCCCTGAGGATGACGAGGACTCGGACCATAACTGAGAACACTTCCTCACCAGCAACAAACCCTCCACTCCTCTGCGCCAGATGCCCAACACCACCTCCTCTCAGCCTCCCTGTGCCTGTCTGCTTCGCTCGGACCCAGCGCTCCTCCTGCCACTCCTGACTCAAGGGGAACCCACTCAAGAAGAGCCATGATCTCTTCCACTCATCAACCAGCAACATCTACAGTGCTAACAGACTAGCCAGTCATCAGAGACCCAGAGCCAGCTCAGGGCTACACATTCCTTCCGTCTTAATTCTCCAGGTCCCAGGCCCACCACTGGGAGTGAGATCAATGATAGGAGAAAGCAGTGATGAGCAGCAATGACCCCATGACCCCAGGCCAGGTGAGGAATCAGGCACAGCAGAAGCAGCCAAGCAAGCAGATGCCAGAGACCCACCCCACTGAAGTGGCAACATGGCCACCTCGTGCCATCCTGGGACACTGACCTCGGGTGCTCCACTGACTTCTACCTCCAGCTCCGGTGCTCCTGCTCCCCTGGACCCGACCCCACGCCCACATCTTCACGTGCTGTGGTGCCGTCCCCATCCCACCCCCACCGCCCCCTGCAAAGCGAGCCACCCCCACAGTCTGGTCCAGCCCATTCCACACTCACTGCCTGACCCTGACTCTGCCTCTTACCTGGACAGTGTGCTCCACGGAACGTCCCATAGCACCAGTACTTACCGGGCTCGCAACCTTGAGAGTCCCCCTGACTCCACGGGACACTGAGGGCTCCCAAACCCCCTCCCAGCACTGACAGCACAGGGGGCTCCCAGAGAGACTGAGGACATGTGACCCCCACAGAGCCTGTGCTGAGTGGCTGAGAGTATTCCTACCAGACCACCGCTTTCTGCCACGGGGATGAGACCCTTCCCTGCATGTCCCCCCGTTCTACCCCAAAATAAAGCAGAAGAAAAGATCATCTGACTTTGTGATTTGTTCTGAAGGTGGAGAGTGGGCGGGGCAGACAGGATGGAGGAGGGGGGGGGGATGGTAGGGTGGAACTCCCCACTGAAACAGGCCCTGCCTGGCGCCTGGCACACAATCCAGGAAGGGGGAACACTGGGAACTGCCTCTTCTTGAGGACCCAGAGTAGGGACCCCAGAAATCCAAGTCCTACCTCTGGCCTGGGCCTTCCTCCCCGACGAGAAATGAGGGGTGGGCAGGTTGTACTCTGCCTCCTAACTTAGGGTTTGAGAACCAAGGAGCCACAGTTTCTAACTCTCCCCCGACTGTCCCACACCCAATGGAGAAAGCCAAGGTCCTCAACTGCCCTAAAGTGGCAAAATGGCTCTTCTGAGAGTGCACAGCCCTGAGAAGGGGGAGGGTCCCACGGGACAGGTGCAGAGTTGGGGGAGGGGAGGCTAGAGGGAGGGGCACTGGCTCCCTCAGCGCTTACTCATGCCACCATCCCACACTTGCTCACCCAGGGCCCCCTGCCTGGCCTCGGGGTCCACCCACCCAGCAGCAGCTTCAGACCTCAGTGAGCACCCCTGCCCCACCCTGCACAGGGCCCACTTCTGGCCTGACCCAGAGCTGCAGCTGGGCCTGTGTGCCTGGCACCCAGGGCTGTCCCCTCAGCACAGGAATCTGCCCCTGAAGGCACTCCCTTGAGGTCACCAAGCAGACCTCAGGGTCATAGGTCAGGGGCTCTCCAGGGTCCTGACTTCCCACCCCGCTGGCAAGCCTGTCCCTCCCCACTCACCCTCAGGAAAGCCACATCCTCTCCTGACCCCCAACTTCTGAACCCTCCCCATTTCCACACTGGCCTCATGCCCTACGGCCTCCCTGGTCCCCAAGGGTGACTGGCCCTCACGCACCCGTCCATCTGTTCTAGGCATCTAGCCCTGATGGCATCACCAGGAGATCATGGTCAGGGTCTCCAGGTTTAGAGCCAGGGCCTCAGCTCTATCTCTGGGCCTGTCCCCACCCCAACCAGTCCCAGGCTGTTGGCTGCACACCCCTCTCACAGGTTCAGTTTCCTTGTCCAGGATTGGGATATGGCAAGAGAGAAGGGGAGTGCAAGGGGCAACAAGACAATCTCCAAGGGCCCTTGGCTCCTAAAATCCCATCTGTTCCCAGATGACACTCTTCCGGGGCTCGCATCCTGTGGTGTGAATTCTCTTGGGCCAGAGCCTGGGGTCATGGTGAGGAGGCCACTCCCAGGACCGGGGTCTTGTTCAGGCAGGCCTTGGGGTACCAGAGACTGGACCCCCAGGGCAAACCTACATGCCTACTTGGGAGGGGCTGTCCCGATTGGCTGGGGGGTGGATGGATGGCCTCTCATGTTCCTGCAGCCCAGGTCAGCGCTAGAGGAGGGTCAACGGGGCCACTCCTTAGTTAAGGCCAAAGGGATAATTTGTCACCAAACAATCAGACCTGTCCTTCAGTGGGGAGTCCCAATACCCACTATGGCGCACACGTTTTCCACAGTGACACGCACGTGTGCGTGCACACACAGGAAGACCAGAGGGGCTGCCCGCACAGTAGTGGCCATGGCCTCCTACACCACCTGACAGGGAAGTCCTGGCCGCCCTGGGTCCCACCAAATCCTACCAGAGGGGCCTTCTCCCCACTCACAGAGAACAGAGGCAGCCCCCGGGGCTGAGGACGGCTGAAAAGGCAAAGACATTGAGTGATGAGGTCCCCACTTTCTAGAAACTGTTAAACACACACAATACAAACCTTTTTTTACTCCTGAAACAAAAAAGAAAGAAAATTCATATTAAATGACATACTGGGCTTTGATATCATGGCCACCACAAAATATAAAATCAAAATAAAAACTCAAGACAAGTGTCTGATTACTCTGGACAACAGGTGCCCAGCACATAAGCCAGTGGCCATGCCTGACCATGCCCCAATGCACCATGTCCACCTTCCCCAGCCGCCAGGTTTCTGGCATCCACCGAGCTCTGACACCATCTGAGAGACCAGGGGGACCCCTGAGTTCCACCCCAGATGAGGCTGTTGACTATTTCCCACCTCAGCCCACCCCTACCCTCAGGCAGCAGATGGTACTCACCTCTCAGATCTGGATTTGCCCATCCTTCCTTCAAGTGGCCACTGGTCCAATCAGGGGCTCCGTGGGAGAGGTGTGTGGCAGGAGCTCTGAAAGCTTGAAGCCCCCTCCCCGCCCACCGGGGCAGCCCTGCCCCACTCCTCGAGGGGGAAAGAGGAAATGACAGACAGACGGAGCAGGCCCCTGCTGCTGGCTGATGGGCATCACCAAAGGGGATGGTGGACCCAAACAGCAGCCCTCATCCTGACCCCTGACAAGGTCGCCCAGAACAAACAGGATTTGTTTCTGATGTGCCTTCCACCTACAGCATCGCACAGCCACCGGCAGCAGAACCCAGGCCTCCGCAGAGGTCAGTTTAGTTCTGCAAAAAGGAAACTTAGAAGAGAGAGGCCCGCCTGCCACACACTGTCCTCTCCTCTTTTTATATCAAAAAGCATCACTGAGTGGGATAGAGGCCTGTCCTGAGCTGACAACATTCCATGATGGCACCTCCATTCCCTCTGTGTCACACACACACACACACACACACACACACACACACACGCACGCACGCACACGTCTTGCTCCAACCCACTCACCCAACAAATGCACACACCACACACCCGCACTGCCCCACGAGGTCACCCGGCCTTTGTGCAAGCTGTGTCCTCCTTGGGAAGGTCTTCCCAAAGCAACAACCACTTCCTGATGCCATGAAAAACCAAAGTTGCAAAGGTGAGGAGGGGGCACGGGAGAGGGGGTGCAGAGGAGGCAGGGGAGGAGAGAGCGAGGGGGCTAGGGCAGGAAAGGAGGCGGGAGCCATGACCCCTGTCCTACTCTAAGGGTCCTCCCCGCCCTCCTCCCACGCACGTGCCTGGGCTGGCTGCATGGCTGGTTAGTGGGTTAAGGATGCCACTAGCACAGGGGATGAGCGCAGGTTACCTCCCACCAGGTACCCGAGATAGTGAGGGACACAAAAGACAGAGGCCATGGCCCAGGGGGACACTGGTCTAGCGCCCTTTGGGCACCCAGACTGGGTAGGGCTGGACAGGAGCGAAAGCAGGGCACCTATTGGCAGCTTTCGCCGGAGGGAGGGGACACAGAGCTGGGAGTCCTGGGGAAGCCGGGACTGTCTCCAGACTGGGTTCCAGGAGAGAGGAAGCAGCCGCCTGTGAGGGCCCTCAGCCTCCTGGTCATGGAAGAGTCCTGGGTAGAGGCTAAGGCCCCTCAAGGAGACCCTCCTCTTGTGGCAACGAAGGGTCAGTATGCTCAGAGCCCCAACCCCCTCCCCAGTCCTGGGAACAATGGACACAGTCTCCCCAACACCTGCCCCTCTTTCCTGGGAGTTGGGTCCCCTCAGAGGGCTCCCTACGAAAGCACAACACAGCCCTGTCGGTGGGAGAAGCCCTGGTCTACATCTGGCCTGTCTGCTCTTAGCCACCAGGTCAGACGGTGGCCCTGGGCCCAGCCCTGGGGAGTGTCCCACTGGGGGTACAGCCTTTCCCTCCAGTGATGGGGTCTCAGAGATGGCCCAGCCCCAGGCACCCCTCCAGGATCTCGGGGAGCTGCAGAAGAGAAAGAGAAGAGCATGCTGGGAAGAGACTGGCAGGGCAGCACAAGCGTGAGGGCGTGACCCATGCAGCCAGGGGTGCAGAGGAGGGTCCGGGGCTGCGCTGGTTGAAGGGGATGAAGAAAGGCATCATCTAGGCGCTGGATAACTGGGCATCAACTCCTGGATGAAGCCGTTCTCACCCCCCACTTACTGACTGTGGCCGCGACCCTCCTCCAGGAAGCACAATGCAAGCGCCATGATAGCAGGTAGGATACCTGCTGCTAGCGGTTAGAGGAGCGACAGCAAGGGACAGCCAGCCCAGGTAGCATGGCATGCCACTGGGGACCTGTGGCACAGTGGTGCAACCCACCTCGCCCTGCCGCTCCCTCTGCTGGCCAGGGCCTGGATTTCCAAGAGAAGCCCAGGACACTGTGGAGAGGGGCCAGGCTGCAGAGGTGGTGGGAGAAATGGGGGGGAGTGGGGGAGCATGGCTGATGCTGGCGCAGAAGCTGTGAGTGACATCAGAGGTCTGATCCCAACCCATCTGCCTCAGCTTCTATGTCTGCAGTGGGGCTCAGTGGGCACTTCCGGGAGCCTGTGAGGAGTCATTGAGCCCCACGGGAGCTCAGTCTCCCCAGACAGGAAGCGGATGAGGGGCTGACTAGGGTTGGGGGAGCAGGGATGGGAGCATGGGGAGGAGAGCTCAAGCCTGTGGGGTTTCTTATAGGGGTGATGAAAATGTTCTAGAGTCAAATGTGTGCATGGTCACACATGCCTGTGCATGCATTAAAAACTATTGAATTGTGCACTTTAGTGGTTGGATTATATGTCTGTAGAGATCCCAATAAAATGTCTTAAAAAAAATAAAAGAGCTTCTTTTATTTCTGCACATATTTCTTGCCTACTATGTCTGCCTTCCCCTGTGAGGGGCCTCACAGTGAACTCACTCACCAACACCACATTCACACAGCCTGGCTCATGGTCGGAGGCCAGTAACTATCACAGGCCCTAAGGAGAACTGGGCGTGGAAGCAGGAAAGGGTACACAGACGAGGAGGTCCGTGTGACACATGGGTTGGGGAAGGGATCCATGTGACACATGGGTGGGGAGGAATTTAGCAGGACACATAAGTGAGGGGCCTCAGTATGACACATGGATAGAGGAGGAAATCTATGAAACAAGTGAGTGGGGTCGGGGCTCCATGTGACAAGTGAGTGGGAGAAGGACTCAGTGTGACACCTAAGTGTGATACATAGTGAAGGGCTCAGTTACACATGGATGAAGGACGTGCTGAATGAGACAGATGAGTGAGGGACTCTATGTGACAGGTGCATTTCAAGGGCCCTGTGACACATAAGGGGGAAAGGGGGCTCAGTGTGACACGTGGTGAAGGAGGTACTACTCTACATGGGACAGGAGAGGAGGAGAGACTCTATGTGACACATGAGTGAGTGAGAGCCTTAGTATGACACAGGAGTGGGGGGAGTGCTCAGTGTAACACATGGGTTGGAGAGAAATTGGATGTGGTACATCATGGGGAGGGGGACATGTGACATTAAGTGAGAGAAGAGTTCATTGTGACACATGGGTGCAGGAGGTGCTCCATGTGAAACATGAAAGGAGAAAAGATTCTATGTGACACATGAATAGAAGAGGGGACCAGCATGGCCCACAGGATTGACAGATAATCAATGTTGTACATTAGTTTGACAGAGTCTCAGTGCAACACATGATTAGTGGAAGGGCTCAGTGTGACATATTAGTGTAAGGGGCTCAATGTGACATACAAGTGGGAAAGGGCTCAGTATGACACATGGGTTTTACAGGAGTCAGTGTGACCTATGAGTAGTGGAGGGGCTAGGTGTGACACATGAGGAAGGGCTCAGTGTGACATATAAGTGGAGGAGGGATCAGATGACACATGAATAGAGGAGAAGCATAGTGTGACACATGAGTAGAGTAGGAGCTCAGTGTGTCACATGATTAGAAGAGGGCCTCAGTGAGACACAGAAGTGGAGGAGGAGCTCAGTGTGACATAAGAATAAAGGAGGAGCACAGTATGACATATGAATAGAGAAGGAGTTCACTATAACACATGAGTAGAGGAGGAGCTCAGTGGGACATGAGTAGGGGAGGGGCTCAGAGTGACATATGAGTAGAAGAGAGACTCGGTGTAACACATGAGTAGAGGGGGAGCTCAGTATGATACACAAGCAGAGGAGAATCTCAATAGGCACATGAAGAGCTCAGTGTGACACATGAGTGGCTCAGGGTGCCATATGGGTAGAGGGCCTCTGTGCAACATATGAGCATAGGCGGGGCTCAGTGTAACATGTGAGTAGACAAGGGGCTCAGTATATGTGCGTGGAAGATGGGCTCAGTGTGACACCTGAGTAATGGAGGGGCACAGTGTGACATATGAGCGGAGGAGGGGCACAGTGTGACATATGAGCGGAGGAGGGGCACAGTGTGACATATGAGCGGAGGAGGGGGTCAATGTGACATTTTAGCAGAGGAGGGGCATAGTGTGACATATGAGCGGAGGAGGGGCACAGTGTGACCTATGAGTGGAGGAGGGGCAGTGTGACCTATGAGCGGAGGAGGGGCTCAATGTGACCTATGAGCAGAGGAGGGGCACAGTGTGACCTATGAGCGGAGGCGGGGCTCAGTGTGACCTATGAGCGGAGGAGGGGCACAGGGTGACCTATGAGCGGAGGAGGGGCTCAATGTGACCTATGAGCAGAGGAGGGGCACAGTGTGACCTATGAGCGGAGGCGGGGCTCAGTGTGACCTATGAGCGGAGGAGGGGCACAGGGTGACCTATGAGCGGAGGAGGGGCTCAATGTGACCTATGAGCAGAGGAGGGGCACAGTGTGACCTATGAGCGGAGGCGGGGCTCAGTGTGACCTATGAGCGGAGGAGGGGCACAGTGTGACATATGTGCAGAGGAGGGGCACTGTATATCTCTCACTGTCCTGTTCCATCCCATCTGCGGAGGAGGGGCACAGTGTGACATATGAGCGGAGGAGGGGCACAGTGTGACATCAGTAGAGGGTCTAAGTACAACACATGAATGAAGGAGGAGCTCAGTGTAAAACATGAATGGAGGAGGAACTCAATGTGATACATGTGTACAGGAGGAGCTCAGTGTGACAAATGAGCAAAGGAGGGGTTCAATATGACACATGAGTAGAGGGGGTGCTCATTGTGACAAATGAGTGAAGGCAGAGCTCAGTGTGACATATGTGTAGAGGAAGAGCTCAATTTGACATATGAGAAGATAAAGAGCTCAGTGTGACATATAAGTGGAAGAGAAGCTCAGTGTGACAGATAAGTAGAGGAAGGGATCATTGTGACATATGAGAAGCTCACTGTGATATATGCATAGAGGAAGGGCTCACTGTGAAACACAAGTAGAGGAGGAGCTAAGTGTGACACATCAATGAAGGAGGCGCTCAGTGTGAAACGTGAGTAGAGTAGGAGCTCAATGGGGTACATGAGTAGCGATTGGGTTTAGGAGCTCAATGTGACACATACATACAGGAGAAGCTCAGTGTGGCAAATGAGTGAAGGAGAAGCTAACTGTGAAACATGAGTAAAGGAGGAGCTGATTGTGACATGTGACTGAGGAATTTAAGCAGAGGAGGGGCTCACTATAAGAGCAGCAAAGTATGCCATTATCAGTGAAAAAAGAGTTCAATATGGAACATGAATGGAGTAGGAGCTCAATGTGACACATGTGTACAGAAGGTCAGTGTGACACATGAGTAGAAGAGGAGCTCACTCTGACATGAGTAGAGGAGGTGCTCAGTGTGACGTATGAATAGAGAAGGGGCTCAAGGTGTCATATTGGTAGAGGAGCTCAGTGTGACATATGAGTGTAGGAGAGAATAAGTGTGACACATGAGTAGAAGAGGAGCTTAGTGTGACATACGAGTAGAGGGGGGGCTCAGTGTGACAAATGAGTGAAGGCAGAGCCCAGTGTGACACATGACTAGAGGAGGAGCTCAATTTCACACATGAGAAGAGGAGGAGCTCAGTGTGACACATGAGTAGAGGGGGGGCTCGCTGTGAGACACAAGTGGAGGAGGAGCTAAGTGTGACACATCAGTGAAGGAAGTGTACATGAGTAGAGCAGAAGCTCAATGGGAAACGTGAGTAGAGGAGGAGCTCAGTGTGATACATGAGTAGAGGAGGGGCTCACTGTGACACACATGAGTAAAGGAGGAACTCGGTGTGACATATGAGTAGAGGAGGAGCTCCCTGTGACACACGGGTGGAAGAGGAGCTAAGTGTGACACATCAATGAAGGAAGTGTACATGAGTAGAGCAGAAGCTCAATGGGACATGTGAGTAGAGGCTGGCCTCAGTATAAAACATGAGTAGAGGGGGAGCTCAGTGTGACATATGAATGGAAAAGGAGTTCAATTAGACATACGAACAGAGAAAGAGCTCAGTGTGACACGAGTAGAGGAGGGGCTCACTGTGACACATGAGTAGAGGGGGAGCTCAGTATAGCAGTGAAGGACAAGTTCAGTATGACACATGAGTGGAGGAGGAGCAAAGTGTGACATATGAGTGGAGGAGGGGCTAAGTGTGAAACATGAGTACAGGAAAGACTGGATATATGAGAGAAGGAGGAGCTTAGTATGATGCATGAGTAAAGGACAGGTTCACTGTGACATATGAGTGGGGGTGAAGCTAAGTGTGACACATGACTGAAGCAGAAGCTCAATATGAAACAACCGTGGAGGAGGAGCTCAATTTGACACATGAGAAGAGGAGGAGCTTGGTGTGACATATGAGTGGAGGAGAGGTTCAGGGTGACAAATATATAAGTAGAGGAAGGGATCATTGTGGCACATGAGTAGAGGAGACGCTCACTGTGACATATGAGTAGAAGATTGGCTAGTGTGACATATGAGTGGAGGAGTGGCTCAATGTGACATATATGTAGAAGAAGGGATCATTGTGGCACATGAGTAGAGAAGCTCAGTATGACACATTAGTAAAGGAAGGTCTCTGTGACACATGAGATGAAGCTAAGTGTGACTTATGAGTGGAAAAGTGCCTCAGTGTGACACATGAGGATAGGAGTACCTCAGTGTGACATGTGAGTGGGGGTGGGGTAAATATTACATGAGAAGAGAAGGGGTTCAATATGATGCATGATTAGAGGAGATGATCAGTGTGACATAAGTAGAGGAGGTACTCAGAATGGCATATGAGTAGAGGAAGAGCCTAATGTGACCTAAGAGTGAAGAAAGAGCTCAGTTGAAAATAAAAGTAGAAGAACTCAGTGTGACAAATGAGTAGAGTGGGAGAGCTCAGTGTGACACATGAGTAGAGAAGAGGCTCAATATGACACAGGAGTAGAGGAGGGGCTCAGTGTGACATATGAGTGGAGTAAGTGCTTAGTTTGACACATAAGTAGAGTAGAAGCTCAGTGTGACACAGAGGAGGAGCTCAGCATGACAGTAGTGGAGGAAGAACTCAGTGTGACCTAAGAGTGGAGAAGTTCAGTATGATATATGAGTAGAAAAGGAGCTCATGTGAATCATGAGTAGAGGAGGAGCTCAATATAACACATGAGTGAAGGGAGAGATCAGTATGACACGTGAGTTGAGAAGGGGCTAAGTGTGACACATGAGGAGAGGAGGAGCTCAATGGGACACATGAGTAGAGGAGAAGCTCAGTGTGACACATGAGTACAGGAAAGGCTCAGTGGACATATGAAAGGAGGAGCTCAGTATGACATATGTACAAAGGAGGAGCTAATGTGACACATGAGTAAAGAAGCTCAGTATGACACATGACTGAAGGAGGAGCTCACTGTGACACATGGGTAGAGGAGAGGCTTAGTGCAATACATGAATAGAGGAGTACTTCAGTTGACATATGAGTAGAAGAAGGTCTCTGTGATTCTGAGAAGAATTTCAATGTGACACATGAGTAGAGGAGAATCTCAGTATGACACATGAATGAAGGGCAGGCTCAGTGTGACAGCTGAATAGAGGAGGGGCTTAAGGTGATATATGCGTAGAGAAGAGGGTTCGTGTGACAGATGAATAGAGTGACAGAAGAGTGAAGGAAAAGCTCAGTGGGACATAAGAATGGAATAGTAGCTCAGTGTGACATATGAGTGGAAAAGGGGCTCAATATGACATGTGAGTGGAAGATGGGCTCAGTATGACACAAGTAGAGGAGAGGTTCAGTGTGACATGAGTGGTTGAGAGGCTCAGTGTGACATACCAACAAAGAAGGGTCTGAGTGTGACACATGAGGCAAGGAGGAGCCCAGTGTGACACATGAGCAAAGGAGGAGTTTATTGTGACAGATGAGTAGAGGAGGGGCTCAGTGTGACACATGAGTGAAGGAGGGGCTCAATGTGACACATGAGTGGAAGAGAAGCTCAGTGTGACATATAAGTAGAGGATGTGCTAGTACGAAATGTGAGTAGAGAAGGGGCTCACTATGAAACACAAGGAGCTCGGTGTGACACATCAGTGAAGAAAGAACTCAGTGTGAAACATGAGTAGAGGAGGGGCACAGTGTAGCATATGAGTGGAGGAGAGACTCAGGCCAACATATGAGTAGAGGAGTTCAGTGTGGCATAAGGATAAAGGAAGATCTCAGTCTACCATAAGAATGGAGAAGCTCAGTGTGACACATGAGTAGAGTTGGAGCTCATTGTGACACATGACTACAGTAGGAGGTCAATTAGACACATGGGTAGAGGAGGAGTACAAGAGGGGTGCGGTGTAACACCTGAGTGAAGTAGGGGCTCAGTGTGACACATGAGTAGTGTAAGGGCTCAGTGTCACATATTAATGGAGGAGGAGACATAAGAGTAAAGGAAGAACTCAGTGTGACTTAAGAATGGGGTAGAAGCTCAGTCTGACACAAGTGAAGTCAGGGCTTAAGGTGACAGTTGAGTAGAGGAAGGGCTCAATGTAACATATGGGTAGAGGAGGGGCTCGGTGGGACATATGAGTAGAGAATGAGCTCAGTGTGACATAAGAATGGAGTAGAAGCTCAGTGTGACACATAAGTGGATGGGGGCTCAGTGTGCCATGAGAAAAGGAGGAGTTCAGTGTGTCCTATGAGTGAAGGAGGGGCTCAGTGTAACATAAGAATGGAGTAGAGGAGGTGACATGTGGAGTAGGCACTCATTGTGACATATGAGTACAGGAAGGTCTCTGTGATGGGAGTAGAGAATCTCAGTGTGACATATGAGAGGAGGAGGGGCTCACTATGACATGAGTACAAGAGAAAGTCAGTGTGACACATGAGTAGAGAAAGATCTCCCTTTAATTACAAATGGAGGAAGGGCTCAATATGACACATTAGAGGAGGAGCATCTTGCTAATTATGAGTAGGGGAGGGTTCAGTGTGACATATCAATAAAGGAGGGGATAGTGTGACAATTGAGTAGAGGAGGGGCTCAATGTGACACATGAATAGAGAATTGGCTTAGTGTGACACATAAGTAGAGGAGGAGCTCCCTGTTAATATAAATGGAGGAGGGGTCAGTGTGACATATGAGTGGAGGAGGGGCCTAGTTGACACAGGAACCTAAGAGTGGTATCTGTCCTCAAAAACATTCCAGAGCTGCAGTCTCTACCACAGTAAGTGATGGCCATGCTGAGGGGAAGGTAAGACACCAAGGGTGCCACCACAACCCTACAGGTCCCTAGGCAGTCTGCACACACCACCTGATTTCTGATTCATAATCAAATGGAAAAAAGCAACTAAACAAGCCTTAATGTTCTAGAAGTTCATCTACCAAAGGTAGAATTCCAAATTAGAAATCCTGAAACATCTGAAGACCACCAAGGTCCTTAAACTGAGTCCACCCCAATTATTAAAGAAGACCTTTAAAACATCTGAGCCACTGTCATACCCCACAAGTTCATATCCCCTCCCCCCAGAACATCCGCAAGGTCTTCATGGACAGGGTCCAAGGCTCTGACTCTCCAGGACCTAGAAACTTCAAAAATAGATATTTGACAGCCAAAGACATTAAAATCAATAGACAAAACACCATCATGACTACCATCATTTTAGATAACGGAAGTACACTGTAAGAGCACAAAGTAGCAAGGACATAGCTCAGGATTTTACAATAGAACAAATTTTGCTTTACAAACAATTCACAATCTAGTCTTCCATTTTCTGATTTCACCCCAGGTGCATGACCAGTCCCATCTCAGACTAGCCCACCCCTCCCCACTCCCAATAACTCTCCCTCCTCTAACCCACATTCCCATTCTTGAACTCTGCCTTAAATAAC